ATAACGGTCATGGAGGGAAAGTAACTGTTGGCTAATTGCAATCGTGCAATTGCATCACTCAAAAATCATTTTTTAATACCTCTAACAACAGTCAAGAAGCAGCCCAATTGATTGGCATCAAATCCACAAACTTTCATGCCCTCCATCACTGATGCTCAGTAGCAGCAGTGTATACCATCTGCTACAATGCATAAATTCACCAATGCTCCTTAGACAGCACTTTCCAAATCCATAGCCTCCACCATCTGGAAGGACAAGGACAGCACATAAACCCTAATGGCATTGAGAGTCTATAGCAAATAGACTACAGTGATTCAAGAAGGCAGTTTACCACTGCCTTCTCAAAGGCAAATTATGGAGGTAATTAATGCTGGTCCAACATTGACACCCACATCCCATGAATGAATTATGCCCACACCCCCACTGCCAGGACATTACATAGAGAATAATTATTCAGGCATGTTATAGTAGCAGATATGTTAGAGAACGGTTTATTCAAAATTTCAGTACTGTGTTTGATACAATTTTCTTTTCTAGCCATTAAGGGTTACAGAACCAAGGTGGATCAATGGATTTAAGATAAAAATTACTCATGATCTAACTAAACAGTGAAACAGACTGGAGTGAGGTCTGTTGAATGGGCTCTTTCTGTTCCTACATTCCCATGAATGCCGTGCATCACCTAATCAGCAATAAATCAAAGACCTGATGTTGAAAGAAAGACAGGTAACTATGTATATTTTTTCATAGGTCCTGGTGCCACTTCCTGCTGCACCTCCCTCAAATAGGCTCCTAATCTTAAGGTTGCAAATGACAGTGGCTACATTCCCTTCATTTCAAAATAATTTACATGCATCTTCCCTTACTGTGGGCACCAGCCGGTCTCGAGATCCCACAGAATACAATACAGGCTGAATAACACCCCTCAACAGAAACCCTGGTTTGCCTTAGTGATCCCCTGTAATAGTGGAACAGGTTTATTTGAAATCACAAGCTTTCAGAGCATAGCCCCTTCGTCAGGTGAAGTGAGAGAGAAGCACACAGACACAGAATTTATAGGTAGAGAGATCAAGGGCAGGGAGATCAAAAGATCATACTAATGGAGTGAATGGAGTGTCGAAAAGTCAGTCTCTGCAGGTGATCAAAAAAGTGTCAGACGTGTGAATAAACCGTCAACAGCTGAATAATAAGTGAAGGGATGACCTATAATCTGCTACCCTTGACCCCACCACATTGTTCTATATCTGTAAAATCTTCCTTACTCTCCTGTTTTGACACCATCACCTTGATAAATTGTTATGATCTCTCTACCTAAATAAATTTGTACAGTTTTGGATTACTTTGGTTAGACCCTTGGTATGCGACTCTTATACCTATCGTGTTATTCCAGTCATTTGGTTTGTCTCCAGCACCACCCTATTTTTCATTTTTTGTAATTATCTCTCAGCCTCAGTTAATCAAACTATAGGTCGTCCCTTTGCTTGTTAGTCAGCTGTTGACACTTTACTCACATCATCTGACACTTTTTTGATCACCTGCAGAGACTTATTATTCAACACTCCACTCGTACCATTTGTATGATCTTTTGCTCTCTCTGCCTTGATCTCTCTGCCTATAAATTCTGTCTGTGTGCTTCCCTCTCACTCACCTGACGAAGGAGCTATGCTCAGAAAGCTTGCAATTTCAAATAAACTTGTTGTATTGTAGCCTGGTGCTGTGTGACTTCTGACTTTGTCCACCCCAGCTCAACACTGGCACCTCCACATCCTGTAATAGTAGATTGTGAAACTCAAAATGTTTCTCTAGGGTGCCAGCCCATACTCTGGACTAGACTCCCAGGTAAGCTTCAGCTGTGGCATTAAGTGGCCAAGGAGTCTCTTATCAGCTGGCATATCAGCCATTGTTTGTTTGCCAGGCTGCAGTTGAGGAAATTTCTGACATAGCAGACCTCCCTGTTTTGGACGTAGCTGATTTGGTTGAATTTCTTTAGCAAATGAGATGGTTTCACCCCAAACAAAACTCTCTGGAAACTGGTTAAAGACATTCACTCATCCCATTTTAATCCCAGTGAACTCAAAGCAGACGTGAACCAGAAGGCCTATGGAAATTTACTGCCGTTAATTCAATTAGGTAATAATGAATGAGAATATTTACCCTGACCAGCTTGTAGCCCTTAACCAACATCATCAGAAAATATTTACCTGGTTATTTCTCATTACTGATTGTGGGATCTTGTTGTGCACGAATTGGCTGTCACTTTCCTCACATTTAAACAGTAACTTCACTTCAACAAGTGTTTCACTGACTATAAAGCTGAATGATGCAAAATCTGAAGTGAAGACAGTTTTGGAATAAATAGCCAAGTTGGACTTATTTGTGACAGTCCCGCCATGGCAGATAGTGCAAACTAATGTCCTTTAGGGAAGAAAATCTGCTGTCCTTACTTGGTCTGATCTGCGTATGACTTCAGACCCACAACTCTTAACTTCTGAGCAATTAGGGATATGCATGAAATATCAATTAGGAATACACAATAAATGCAGAAGTAGCCAGCAATGTGTACATCCCATGAAAAAAATATAAAAAACACTTGATGATGTCCCAGTAGCATGAAAGCACAATATTAGCGTAAACTTTTCTTTTTCTTTCTGAAGAGCTGGAACGGTTTAGGATATTAAGGTACTGAGGTTACCGTGAAGGAATCTCTATCTCAACCTCTCCCCTTGGCTGAGGTGTGATGACTCCCAAGTTAACCACCACTAGTCGTCTCTCTCTAATGAGACAGCAGTCTCATGATCCAATAGGACAATGGTGATTTTTTTTAACTTTAATATTGTGCTAATCGCAAGGTAAGTACATACGAGGAAGGTCCTTGGTCCATCTAAATTAACCTATCCAAACACAGCCTGAAATCCCCCATCACAGCACCTATTCCCGAAATGATTGTAACCAAAAGATTCTGGCACAGAACTAGTGAGTCATAACACACAAGCCTTTGTTCTGAGCCCAAATGCATTCAGATCATAGACAGAATTAGTGTATGGCAAGGCCGTGCACTTAAGGGAGTGAGTAGACATAGTTAAATAGGTTTAAGCTAACTGAACTAATGTAGAAAATCCATTCTTTCCTACCCACCGTTGATCACAACAAGGCCAAAAATATGAGCTCCCCAAGTCTATGGATTGTGTCATGCATTATCAGGAACTGTTATATGGTCCTGTAGCCATGGTCTCTGACCAACAGTATCCATTCTCTCGTTCAATTGTTTGGCAAGTCACCACAAGTAAATGATACAGTTTCTGGGAAGGAATAAATGTCCCGATTAAAGAAATCGCAGCCAGGATTCTTTACATCACTGTTTATTGATGATTAATAATCAGCCAATGTTCAAGCTGAGACTTCCAAAAAGATTTGAAGAAGTACAGGTTTGATGGCAAAATTGAAGCCCATGGATAAATATTGCAGCATGGATACAAAATTGGCTATGGGATGCAAAACAAAGTTGTGGATGGTTTTATTGTAGACTGCTGGGACGTTTACAACAAACTCTCCCAGGATTTAATGCTAGGGCCATTGCTGGTTTATATTCATGGCTTGTGCTTAAGGGAACAGGACACAATTTTGAAATGTGTGGAAAACCTGAAAGTAAATGGTGAGATTGATCATAATAGTCTTCATCAAACAGACAGGTGGAACAAGCAGACATATATCAGCTGAATGTTAATGCAGATTTTAGTCAGAAGAATGAGGAAACAGAATGCATGCTGAATGGTACAACGTTAAAGGAGCTGGCTATTTCAGCACAAATCTTTGAAGATGGCAGGACAGAATGTATACATAATATATACATGAACGAACAAATTAGGAGTAGTTGTAGACCATTCAGCCCCTTAAGCCTGCTTTGCCAAGCCATTACATCATGGCTGATCTGACTTTGACCTTAACTCAATATTTTTGCATACTCCTGATAATCTGACTCCCTTGTTAGTCAAGAATCTATCTTATTGAAGAAGAACAAAAGCAGTCAATAAGGCATTTAAAACACAAATGTTGAGAAGTTGTATAAACTAATATTAAACAGTAATTTGACCCCAAGTACAGTATTTTATCTAATATATGTTCCACAATTAGGAAGCATGTAAAGGCATTGGAGACTGTACAGTACAGAATTATCAGAATGGTTCCAAGGATGAGATAATAGACTACAGAAACTTACAGTATAGAAGGCTAAGAGCTGATCTCACAGAAATGATTAAAACCAAGAAATGTTGAGATAAAGTTAATAAAGACAAGCTGTTTGCAATGCTGAAGGAGTCATAACAGAGGGCACAAATTGACCAAAGAATCAGAGGTAACATGAGGAGAAAACCTCTTACGCAGCAGATAGTTAGGATTTGGAATGTTCAGTCTGAGAATGAATTCAAAAGTAGTCTTCATTAGGAATCTAATTACTATGTCTAGGAGAAAACATATTGTAGCAACATGGGGAAAGAACAAGGAGGTTGGAATAGCTGAAATGCTCTTGGATTGTGCTGGCAGGAATCCAATGGGCTAAATGGCCTTCTTTTGTGCTTTAGTATTCTACATTCCATGAATAAATTAAAATGCACAACCTTGAAAACATAATCCACAGCATAGATGAATGAATAATAGTGGAAAATACATTTTTCTGTTGAGAAACTCAAAAAAAGCAATGAAAATATTAAGGTCAACAATCATTGTCAGTTGATACACAAGGTCTTTAATAGTAGTATTGCATCAGACCAATCAAATTTGGAATGTTTGAAACATCATCCAACCCTGCCTAACTACTTCTATTGACAACAAGGCAATAAACAATTAATAATCCCAAATGTTTCAAAACTGAAAGTATAATAGATCTTTCAATGAACAAAAGCATCAAAACATTTACACTACTTAAGCCAGTCCTCAAGCATTGGATTTTGCGATGTTTAAGCACCCTCTACAGGCAAAAAATACACTTTCAGTTAAAGACATACCTGTCATAAATCCTCTGCAGCTGCTGAAAACTATACATTATATGGGTAATGTGGTCATTGGCAGCTACAACTTCAGCTGGAGGGTTATATTTGTTGATTGCCAGAACCTGGGAGAGAAAAGTTGATGTAATTATATTTTTCATAACAAATTATATTGTTATGCCTCCTAGAATGTAGAGCTAATGTATAAACCAATAATACAATGCCAGTTAGTACAGCTGTGATGTAAAAAGAAACGTTGAGATTTGGGCTTAAACTTTTCAAAACCTATTGATGATGAGGAACTTCAAAAGTTGCTTCAGCACATCACAAAAGTGGTCATAATTTCCTGAAATGTATAACAATTGGTGAGATAGGATCTGTGTCCAATTAAGTTCAATAGGTAGGCATTCAATGCTGGAGATCCAATCAGAAGATCCACATTCCTGTCATCATGACTTTGGTCTTGAGGCCCAATGTCTGGGCCATGGAGTGCAAATGTGTCTGCACTTCTCCAATAGATCCTGAGAGGGCTGGACCCAAATCTTCATGGCATCTGCCAACCTGTCGATGAGGGCAGCTAGACAGCCGCATCTGGTTTCTCCTATAAAGCAGTTTTAGATATCTACCGTATCAAAATATATTTTCATTACTTAAAGACATCTATCAGATTACCACTCAGCCTTCTTTTTCTAAAGTCTGTTCAGACTTTCCTGATACTTATGCCCTCCCAATTCTAGCTAAAATATCTGTCCATGATCACTGTGGCTGCTTTGCAGTATTTAAGTACCTCCCCTTTAATTCACTTTCAAGGTGAAATTTCCACCTCTATCTGAGGAGGAAATGCTGTCTTGGAACCCATTAGTGCCAGCAAAACTCAAGATTAAGAGGTGTGGAGTGAAGAGCCCTGTGTGAGAGGGCAGCTTCGGATGGGTACAGGAGGCCACAGAGAAAGATCACCCCTTAGTCTACCCACACAGTGAGGGCCTTCTAATACTACTGGTAAAGTACCAGCGATGGTGATGATACACCCCTCGGAAGCCATTAGCTGGCCTGACATCTCTTTTACTGCACCACTAAAATTTCTGATAGGTTGAAACAGGCAGTGCGATGGCCACCCTCTGGATTTTATGCGCTTGTCCTATCGTCAAGCCAACAGGTAAGAAGCATTAAAACCACCCCAAACTTAGTGGTAATGACACCATAGTACATATTCTCGATAGTCCAGTAGATACATACTCGAGTTCATTGCTTTATGCAATTAGTCCCTCACTGATTATCCGTATCTCTGGAACTACTAAACTATGAAAGCTATTTGGTATACTTTAGAAATATATCTAGCTCATATTTACTTAGAGACTCCACGTGGCATACTTTGTGTGAGGGCTTTGCAAGCAATTATGCCATTGTAGGAATCATATTTTGTCAGTTTAAGGTTGAAATTTGAAGAGTGAATGTGTACAAAAATTTCAATAAGCAGTAAGTAATTTTATTTGTTGTTTCTATAGAATTCTAACATATAAAATAAATTGCAACCTGCTCAAGTCAAGTAATTGATACACAGCCAATATTTTGAAAAAGAATATCTTACTATAAGTTAGCCAGTGCAACGAATTACCACGTAACTGAGCAGATATTGTTTTGAAAATCTGGAATGAAAATATAGTTAGGTGAAGACCCTGAATTCTAGGAGAGTGGGGGTACAGTTAAAGTCACTGGACTAATAATCCAGAGTCCTGGATTAATGTCCTGTGAGCATGGGTTCAAATCACACCACAGTAGATGTGAAATTTTAACTGAATAAATATCTGGGATTTAAAAGCTAACCTAATGGCGACCATGTCACCGTTGTTGATTGTTATAAGGCTCCTACTTCTCAGTGGGAACCTCCAATAGTCATGGAGGGGCAGGAAGGGTGGAAGGGAGGTGGAGGTCCCAGCCACCTCTGGAGTGTCCTGAGTAAGAGACTTCGAAGGAGGTTGTTTCTTTTGTTGCTGGGTGCTTCCTGGCACTGCCTTGTCTTCTAGGGAAGGGATACCTAAAGTGCTCACCAGGATCCCCATTTTTGTCATCATAACTTCGGTCTTGAGGCCCAGTGTCTAGGCCATGGACTGCAAGTGTGTCTGCACCTCTCCAATAGATCCTGAGGGGGCTGGACCAAATCTCCATGGTATTTGCCAACCTGTCGATGAGGGCAGCTAGACAGTCGCATGGCTTACTGCTTGCTGCAGCTTCACTGCTGCATTGTGGGTCACTGCCTCCTATATATGTCAGCTGCTTCTGTTCCTCCTAGTACATGAGGATGAAGTCCTCAAATGCAGACACCACACAGTTCTCTCCTGCTTGGGGCTGATATGGTGCCTGATCTCCGACAAACCTCCAAGTGCTAGCAATCTAGGCCATTTCTACTTCGGTCAGCTGCAGAGTTGTAATGTTGACGTGCTCACCAGATTGTGATCTCATACTTTTTTACGTTAAAGTTTCCCAACAAATTGTCAATGTCTGAGCTGATGAGATGGAAGAGGTAGCCTTGCTTCCTTTGTGGCCTTTGAATTCTCACCCTCAGAGGTCAAGAAGGTAACTTATGTGGTGAAATGGCTGGCTCCCCGAGGAGTGGTGGAGATGCTGGTGGATACTGCAAGGTAAAAGAGTAGGCATCATGGCCAGTGATTAGGAGGGATAACCAATGAATGACACTGTGGCTCTACTGTAAGAGTTGCAGTGGAATGAAGAGTTGATTGGACATGGATGATTTGGCACCTCTGCAAGAATGGTCCACTCTTGCCGTGCAAGGGGCATCCTTCTGCTCTCCCTGACGTCTAATGTTGGGCACCCCTCCACCCGTATGGACTTTCTCTGCCCAGTTATTGGCTATTTTCTTCAGAAATGAGAGAAAGGGACGGATTCAGTGAGATAACAGTGGGTGACACATCTGTTAGAGTTGGTGTATGTGGGAGAAAGGTGAAGTGTCCTAAGTGAGTGCATATGTGTGCAGACTGCATGCAGAGTTAGTAATGTGGGAGGTTTGGGTGTGGGGGCAGGGTGGGGTGTTGGTCAGTATGGGCGAGGGAACATGTTGAAGGTGACAGTGTGAGTGGTAAACCATGAACCTTGGTGGGAATAGGGTGCACAGCAAAGATAAAGTGACCATGAAGTAGCAGAGGGAGAAGGGGAGCACTTACCCTGGTGTAGGGGAGAAGGTCATTGATCTTCTTGTGGCATTGTTGGGCATTCCTTCAGATCATGAAGACAGCACTGACCTGGGTGGTGACCCCACCAGGTTGACCTCTGCTTCGCTATCTAGGAATCGTAGTGCCATTTTCCCCTTCTATGACATCTTCTGGAAACATCCGTAACTGAGCAGGGAAGCTTCATAATGCCACTGCTCATCCAGGTTCATAGCCGTTTTTTAAAGATTGTGGATGTGCAAGGCCTGCCAGTCTTTTCGTAGACATCCGCTGACTGGCAAGTTGTTCCTGGAGTAGCGTGTGGTAAGACGGGGCTGGAATCGGACGCAAGGGTGCGACACAGACAGACTAGGTAGTTAATAAGGCAAATTTTACAAGATGTAGCAAGAAATCTTGCTAGGCCTCATGTCAGAAATCCCTTTACAAAACTTGACACAACTCACACCAAAAAACATAAGATTCTGTCGAACGACAAGGAGAGGGGCCTTCAGACTGCGGACTGCGGAAATTGAGAGAGATTTTCTTCCCCATCTCTATAGTGAAAATACCCAAAGTCTGAAGAAACCCAGTCATCCTCTCACACCACTGCTGTAAGCTGTGCCTTTTAACTAGTAACTAAGAGAATTTGTAGTGTACCAATTACTCTGTGCTTACTGTGAAGAAGTGAATAAACCTGGGGAAAGGAGATTGAAAAATAGAAGATCCTGGCAAGCAAAAGGATCATCTCAGTGAAGCATATAGTTTGGTGCTATTGAATTGTGTTTCCCAGTTTTATTTTCCATCAACTCTTAAAACCAATATCTTTTTATTCGTGTGCATGTGTGTGTGCGTGTCTGTCTGTCTGGGTTTTAAAAGGGAGTTAGAGTCTTCACTAGCACAGCCACATATTGACAGTTCATGGCTGTTTAACAGTGATTAGAATTTATTTATTGGTAGTAAATAATAGTTCTTGTTAAGTACAGAAGGAAGAATTCTGCCCATAATATTTAAAGAATGTTCACTCTGTACATTTCTTGTTGTTTAGATGCTTATAAATTAATATTCAAACCCTGCAAATAAATGAACACCTTCCAAGCAAGTTAAGCTGTGATTACAGAAATAAAATTGTGTATGTAAAAGTTACAGCATATTTTATACGAGTAAACTGATGTCACATAACACATTTTAAACAACTATTTTATCACAGATCTATAAAGTTGCATTTCATGATGTGTGCTTTACTTGATCCTATCAGTATATTTACTTGATCCTGTCAGTATATAATTAAAAACAATTTTTAAGGAATTATTCAATTTACCTTATCAGCTGATTTCACTTTCTTAAGATCCAGCTCAGTCAGTTTCTGCACCATGTAAAGAATCCAGTATAAATAATCAGGGTGTTCCTATTGGGAAAATGAAAGCATGTTAGAAAGAACTGACTTCATGCAAGGATTAACTTTTTAATAATTTCATTGAAAAAAACTTCATTTGACTGAATGCACAGCCATGTGTTCGCCATATGGGATCCTTTAATGCCGCAATTTCTACCTTGGAATATTTTTTTGGGAAGCGTGATTGAAAAAGTTTCATTTGATCATGGGAAAGAAATGACACATTCACAGCAAAGTTGTTCTGGTTGCTGCCGAGTGATCCTGGTTGGAAGTGAATATTCTATAGGTATCAGAGGAAAAAAGAAACAGGCTTAGCTGGGATGTCTTTAGAGTATGATAATTTATTGACGTTCTTAACTGATGATCATTCATTAAAAGGTAGCCAGTCGGAACAGATAGAAGAATTGATTAGCATTTGTGGAGTAGGAATATGGGTGCAATGGGGTGTTAGAAGCACCTAATTTGAACAGTCAAAGTTAGAATATATCTGTAGCACACATGAAAACGAAAACAAAAAAATGCAAATGATTACTAACTTAAGATTCACAGTAAACGTGTAACACAGATGAACTGTTAAAAACAGTTCAACATATGTCGTACATAAACAAAAATAAAAATGGACTGCAAATCTGCAACACACTATTTAGAATAAATAAATATATTCAAAATATAAATGAGAACATTCCTTACTAATCAAAATATCAGTAGAACCAAATGCAGCAGAAAACCTAAATAACTAAATAATAAAATATGAATATGCAATAGTTAAGTACTTTTTTCTGATTACTTTCCTTGAAAGAGCATTTAAATGCAGAATTCCTTTTCTGCAGCTTTGGGAAGATCTGCTTGTCCTGAATGTTGTAACGTGGCCTAAGAAACTTCAGGAAATTTATTTTGTCCCTCAGCAATCTCAGAGGCTTGAAAAGTTCTAAATGTTCTCATAAATTCAATTGAAAGCAAAGAAAAGTTGGTGCTGACTGAGGTGAAGTGGTAATAACAAGGCCTAGGCTTAGCTTTCCCTAAATTAGGCTTAGTTTCCCCTCATTTATGCTGACAAGATTCAAAATAGACATTTCTGACTGAATAATAATGGCAGTGCCCAAGTTTAATAACTTTGAAGGTGGCCACTGATTCTAATATCATCACAGTAATGCTTGATGCTTTTGAGCAGAATTAAAACCCAGGTCTTGACTGCAGTTCCAATGACGTAAACAATGCCCTGGAACACCATTTTGTTCTAAATTACAGTTATTCACAAAAAAAACACCCACATAATACTCCAGATTTTAATTTAACATTGTTGTTGTGCTTTTTGTATGATTTTTAACAGCAGGCACAAAATAACTGCTGTGATATCATAGAAATGTTTAACACCTGTTCACGCTTGATTTTTAGACAACCATGACATTTGCGAGATATAATTTAGGTCAGTGCTTTTATTCTTTGCAAGACATAACTCTAAGTGATAGTGACACCATGAATTCCATGTCATCAACTGACTTTGAAAGGAACAATTTCCCTTTTTTTACAATGATACTTAGAACTTGATGCAATGACAATATTAAGGTACCTCCCTCCAATGAGTATCCCAGTAATAGAACATAGAACATAGAACATTACAGCGCAGTACAGGCCCTTCGGCCCTCGATGTTGCGCCGACCTGTGAAACCAATCTGAAGCCCATCTAACCTAAACTATTCCATTATCATCCATATGTTTATCCAATGACCATTTAAATGCCCTTAAAGTCGGCGAGTCTACTATTTTTGCAGGCAGGGCATTCCACGCCCTTACTACTCTCTGAGTAAAGAACCTACCTCTGACATCTGTCCTATATCTATCACCCCTCAATTTAAAGCTATGTCCCCTCGTGCTAGCCATCACCATCCGAGGAAAAAGGCTCCCACTGTCCACCCTATCTAATCCTCTGATCATCTTGTATGTCTCTATCAAGTCACCTCTTAACCTTCTTCTCTCTAACGAAAACAGCCTCAAAACCCTCAGCCTTTCCTCATAAGACCTTCCCTCCATACCAGGCAACATCCTGGTAAATCTCCTCTGCACCCTTTCCAATGCTTCCACATCCTTCCTATAATGCGGTGACCAGAACTGTACGCAATACTCCAAGTGCGGCCGCACCAGAGTTTTGTACAGCTGCAACATGACCTCATGGCTCTGAAACTCCATCCCTCTACCAATAAAACCTAACATACTGTACGCCTTCTTAACAACGCTATCAACCTGGGTGGCAACTTTCAGTGATCTATGCACATGGACACCGAGATCTTTCTGCTCCTCCACACTACCAAGAGTCTTACCATTAGCCCAGTACTCTGTATTCCTGTTACTCCTTCCAAAGTGAATCACCTCACACTTTTCCGCATTAAACTCCATTTGCCACCTCTCAGCCCAGCTCTGCAGCTTATCTATGTCCCTCTGTAACCTACAACATCCTTCTGCACTATCCACAACTCCACCGACCTTGGTGTCATCCGCAAATTTACTAACCCGTCCTTCTACGCCCTCATCCAGGTCATTTATAAAAATGACAAACAGCAGTGGCCCCAAAACAGATCCTTGAGGTACACCACTAGTAACTGAACTCCAGGATGAACATTTCCCATCAACCACCACCCTCTGTCTTCTTACAGCTAGCCAATTTCTGATCCAAACCGCTAAATCACCCTCAATCCCATGCCTCCGTATTTTCTGCAATAGCCTACCGTGGGGAACCTTATCAAACGCTTTACTGAAATCCAAATACACCACATCAACCGCTTTACCCTCATCCACCTGTTTGGTCACCTTCTCGAAGAACTCAATAAGGTTTGTGAGGCACGACCTACCCTTCACAAAACCGTGTTGACTATCCCTAATCAAATTATTCCTTTCTAGATGATTATAAATCCTATCTCTTATAATCCTTTCCAACACTTTACCCACAACCGAAGTAAGGCTCACTGGTCTATAATTACCAGGGTTGTCTCTACTCCCCTTCTTGAACAAGGGGACAACATTTGCTAGTCTCCAGTCTTCTGGCACTATTCCTGAAGACAATGACGACATAAAGATCAAAGCCAAAGGCTCTGCAATCTCCTCTCTAGCTTCCTAGAGAATCCTAGGATAAATCCCATCCAGCCCAGGGGACTTATCTATTTTCACACCTTCCAGAATTGCTAACACCTCCTCCTTATGAACCTCAATCCTGTCTAGTCTAATAGACTGTATCTCAGTAGTCTCCTCGACTACATTGTCTTTTTCCTGCGTGAATACTGACGAAAAATATTCATTTAGCACCTCTCCTATCTCTTCGGACTCCACGCACAACTTCCCACTACTGTCCTTGACCGGCCCCAATCTTACTGTAGTCATTCTTTTATTCCTGACATACCTATAGAAAGCTTTAGGGTTTTCCTTGATCCTACCTGCTAAAGACTTCTCATGTCCCCTCCTGGCTCTTCTTAGCTCTCTCTTTAGGTCCTTCCTGGCTAACTTGTAACTCTCAAGCGCCCTCACTGAGCCTTCACGCCTCATCTCTACATAAGCCTCCTTCTTCCTCTTGACAAGAAATTTAACTTCTTTAGTAAACCACGGTTCCCTCGCTCGGCCACTTCCTCCCTGCCTGACAGGTACATACTTCTCAAGGACACGCAGTAGCTGTTCCTTGAACAAGCTCCACATTTCAATTGTGCCCAGCCCCTGCAGTTTCCTTCTCCATCCTATGCATCCTAAATCTTGCCTCATCGCCTCATAGTTGCCTTTCCCCCAGCTATAACTCTTGCCCTGCTTTATATACCGATCTCTTTCCATTGCTAAAGTAAACGTAAGTGAATTGTGGTCACTATCACCAAAGTGCTCTCCTACCTCCAAATCTAACACCTGGCCTGATTCATTACCCAGTACCAAATCCAATGTGGCCTCGCCTCTTGTTGGCCTATCTACATACTGTGTCAGGAAACCCTCCTGCACACATTGGACAAAAACTGACCCATCTGCAGTACTCGAACTATAGCGTTTCCAGTCAATATTTGGAAAGTTAAAGTCCCCCATAACAACTACCCTGTTACTTTCGCTCCTATCCAGAATCATCTTTGCAATCTTTTCCTCTACATCTCTGGAACTTTTCGGAGGCCTATAGAAAACTCCCAACAGGGTGACCTCTCCTTTCCTGGTTCTAACCTCAGCCCATACTACCTCAGTAGACGAGTTGTCATCAAACGTCCTTTCTGCCACCGTAATACTGTCCTTGACTAACAATGCCACACCTCCCCCTCTTTTACCACCTTCCCTGATCTTACTGAAACACCTAAACCCCGGAACCTGCAACAACCATTCCTGTCCCTGCTCTATCCATGTCTCCGAAATGGCCACAACATCGAAGTCCCAGGTGCCAACCCATGCTGCAAGTTCTTAGCCAATATTTCATTCATGTGGCTGCCAAAGGAAGCTTGTCTGTTGAATTCCATCTTGTTTTCCTGAAACATATGCACACCTCCCCCAAACCCATCTACAAACATTGACTTCCCCTCTGCTTTCCAGTACCTGTATTGGGTTCCACAGAAGATTCAAAATCCGTAGAAGTCCAAGGTTTTGCATGTGTTTAATTTCATTCAGTTCTCTGACCTGACAATAAAACAAAAGTCAATACAACGAATAAGGACATTTTTAAATATCTTTATATGGCACTTGATGTCTTAACAAACTATCAATACTTCACTGTTCACTGTAAGCATTCATCAGCAACTGTAGGTTAAGAAAATGTCAAACCAATTTTATTGGCTGCAATTTAACAGAAGAATGGTCTGATCCTCCTTAACTCACTGAGAAACTACAGGAAGAGGTGCAAACTGATTGAACATTACACCAAGGGCTGGATTTTTGCTGAGGCCAATGCAGAAGGATTCTGGGTGTTAACCTGACCCTGATGATAAGCAAATAAAACTTCTGATTTTGATAGAGGTGATGGATTAATTGATAAGGAGTCAGGATTGGCATTCAATTAGTGATTGCAGCCTGACTGGAGATGGGACATCAGGTATGCAAGTCATATTTTGGTCTGACTCATTTGCATATGGTTTAAAAAAAAGAAAGCAGCTGAATTTTCAAATTGGTCAGGGCACAGAGACATGTTAGTATAGAACAGAGGGAACTGTCAGTGTAATTAAAATGTCATTGCTGTGGAATAGATTTTCTTCAAAACCTTACAGATTTTGCAATCAAACTTTTTCCACAATGATGGCTGTTTAAGACAGATTAGAGCTGTTCAGCATTGCATAGTTCGAAATGAACATCTGTCCCTGTGAAAATTTCTAAATCTGAGAAGGCCAGGGCTTAACTGCTTAATTACTTGTATAAGCCCAAATGACGAAAAGGAAGATTTCACTTCCCTGACCTCCCCCAGTTCTGACCCCAACCTTATGAAAATGAGCAGGGTGAGGATCGGAAGTGGGACATCAGCATGTACGATGTTGGTGTCTTACTTTTGTTGCTGGCCTTTATTCTGACCCAATCCTGCCAAATGAATATCTGGACACCAATTCTTGCAGAAAAGTGCAATAAAATGGTAATGCAATATTGGAAGGGGAATCAAAAAGGAACTATAGTTCCAAGATTATTTTTAAAAGGATATTAGGGAATGTAATCAGGAATTTTGCATGATGGAGTCACCACATAGATGGGTTCACTAGAATGACCTCTGGGATGAGAGGGTGGTTCTATGATGAAATGCTGAGTAATTTACAATATTTATAAAAGTGTGAAGTGATTAATTTTGGAAGGTCGAATTTGATTGCAGAATACAGGGTTAATGGCAGGATTCTTGGCAGTGTGGAGGAACAGAGGGATCTTGAGGTCCACGTCCTTAGATCCCTCAAAGTTGCTACCCAAGTTGATAGGGATGTAAAGAAGGTGTATAGTGTGTTGGCTTTCATTGGCAGGGGAATTGAGTTTAAGAGCTGCGAGGTTATGCTGCAACTCTATAAAACTCTAGTTAGATCACACTTGGAATATTGTGTTCAGTTCTGGTCACCTCATTATAGGAAAGATGTGGAAGCTTTAGAGAGGGTGCAGAGGAGATTTACCAGGATGCTGCCTGGACTGGAGGGCAGGTCTTACGAGGAAAGGTTGAGGGAACTGGGGCTTTTTTCATTGGGGCGAAGAATAAGAGGTGACTTGATAGGTGTACAAGGTGATGAGAGGCTACGATAGAGTGGATAGTCAAACCTTTTCCCAGGGCGGAAATGACTATTACGAGGGGAAATACTTTTAAGGTGATTGAAGGAAGGTATACGGGAGATGTCTGAGATAGGTTCTTCACACAGAGAGTGGTGGGTGCGTGGAGTGCTCTGCCGGCAGTGGTAGTGGAGTCAGATACTTTAGATACTTTTAAGCGGCTGTTGGGTAGGCACATGGTGGATAGTAAAATGTAGGGTATGCAGGGTAGTTTGATCTTAGTAGGATATTAGGTCGGCACAACATTGTGGGCCAAAGGGCCTGTTCTGTGCTGTATTGTTCTATGTTCTATGTTCTATTGTACCTCACTGAATCAAGGAAGATTATAGGTGGACAGAAACGTGGAGTTAAGGCAATGATCAGGAATGATCATATTAAATGGCAGAGCAGTGTAAGTGGCCATATGGTTCACTCCTATTCTTATTTCCTATGTTCCAATGCTTGAAGTTCGCTTTTGGTTACCAACCAGACTGATAATTGAAAGATTCCCCTCACTAAAAGATCCCACATCAAACTCTAGGAAAAAGCTATCAGATTTTTCAGACTGGAAGCTGAAGTCACAGTTAACTTAAATTGAGGTGTTAGAAAAAAAGATTAAAAATCTTGAGTACTGTATAAGGACTGTTTTTAGGTACTGTCAAGCGGGTGTTTTGACATTACTGGCAATATGCTTCTACTGTGTGTTTCTAATTTTTTAAAGGCACATTATTTGTAAATAGTTTAGTCTATTATATTTTATCTTCATTTCTTTTGCTTAATAAACGCAAGTTTTATTGTTACAACCAAATCTGTAATATTGCATGCTCACTTTTCAGTGAGAGATCAACTCATTAAAATCAAATAAAAAAATCTATCTAGCCAGATTCCAGTTTGCAAACTGGTTGGGATTCCAGCTTGTCCCATAATAACATCAGCTGGGATCATATTACAAGGGATGTAATCTCAAAATAAAAGGCATGCCATTAAGACTGAGATGAAGAGGACCTTCTTCATTCAAAGGACAGGTGAGGTTTTGGAATCACAATTTAAATGACCCTCTTCCTTTCTGTTTTTCATACCAAAGTGTATAACTTCGCATTTAGCCATTTGTTGTGCTACATCGGCCATGTGTTTGCCCACTCACTCAACATGTTTAAATCACCCTTGCCTCCTCCCCACAATTCTCAATACTGCCCAGTTTTGTGTCGTGAACACACTCGGAAATGTTGCATCTGGTTCCCTCATTCAAGTCATTTATATATATTATGAATCGTTGGTCCCCAAGCATTGATACTTGTCGTACTCCACCAGACACTCCCTGCCACTCAGAAAAGGATCATTTATTCCTGCTCTCTGATTCCAGTCTGCCAACCCATTATTGATCCTTATTACTCCCTATCTCATGTGGTTTAATTTTTTCCACTAACTTCTTATGAGGGACCTTATCAAAAGCCTTTTGAAAAATCCAAATAACACATCCATTGTTCTCTCTTACCTATTCTACTTGTTACATCCTCAAAAAAAAACTCCATCCTACTTACCAAGCTATTAGGTCAGTTACAATGTACCAATTTTAAATACATTTTCATTCTGTAGGTACCATGAAAGGAGCTCATTCACTGGCCAGATTGTAGTGGAATTCAGTAAACCTTGAATTTGTCACATATATTGCATACCATGCATAGGTTCTTACCTGATTGTTCTGCAGATTGATTGTTTCCAAAAGGTCATGGTCTGCCAAACCTTTCAAAGATTCTATTTTATTGTTTGACAAATCAAGCTTGTGCAGGCGTTTCAGTTTTGCCAGTCCCTTCACATCTGTGATCTTGTTACCTTGCTGTGAATAAATTATAAATGTAAGAGAGAAAACTATTTGACACCCTGAGATAATTTGTTGTTGATAATTTCAGGGGAGAATAGAAAATCAAGTTTCCTTTTATATAAGATAACAAGGTGTAGAGGTGGATGAACACAGCAGGCCAAGCAGCATCAGAGGAGCAGGAAAGCTGACGTTTCGGGCCGAGACCCTTCTTCAGAAACTGAAGGGTCATTTCTGAAGAAGGGTCTAGGCCCGAAACATCAGCTCTCCTGCTCCTCTGATACTGCTTGGCCTGCTGTGTTCATCCAGCTCTACACCTTGTTATCTCAGATTCTCCAGCATCTGCAGTTCCTACTATCGCTTCCAATGAAAAAATTTGAATGTAAAACAGGTTTTTACAGCACTTGAGATTTGCCAAAGGGCTCCGTGGGCTGGAAAACCTTTGATTGACAGCTGAGCTTCCAACATATTGAATGTCGTAACAACAAGCAAATCATCTGAAAGTGATCATGACAGTTGTATCTTCTTGATTTTTTAAATAAAACTTTTATCAAGGAATTAATAATACATTAAAGCCTTACGTAATATTTTTCTTTTCCAATTATATTTCTCATACCAGATGGTACTTCACATTTAATGCATATGGGTGGTACTTAATATTTCCACCAGGCTGGGAGGTGGAGAGGGGGTGGGATTTAATAGTGTCACCAGCACAACATACAGCATCTTTTAGCTTTCTGACTCCCATCAGTTAGACTGAGATGGGTAAAGTGGGATTTGCCTCACCACCACTAGGTCAATGGAGGTCCTGAAGTGGCTATGCCCACTCCATGGAAAAATCATAGTACAGATAATAGTTATTTAAGTTATGAGAATCACAAAGGCTCCAAACACTGCAACACTTCATAATTTATGGATGCAAGCATAACTCATAGTAATAATAATAATAACCGAGACTTCGTGACATTGTAGGTCCCATCCATATTAAAAAGTTGAGATCAAAAATGTTATCTCAGACTTTGGGGAACTGACTTCACAGAAATGTCATGAACAATCAGTAGTTGTAAGTATTGCATTCCATTTCTTTACACAGGGCACATTTGGCACTGATAGAGAGAAAAGGAATGAATGGCCGTGCACGATAAAAAATAATGGACAAACAAATTGGTTTTAGGGTTAGATGTGTCCCATAAAATCCCAAGGAATTGAAGGATATGGTGAGGATGAGCCATGGAAAAAATATTGACTTTTCAAGAACAATGGTCTTGACCTATTCCCTTTTTATTTTCTCAAATTTCTAGTTTTGTTAATAATACTTATTACTTTCATTGTGTACTTTGTGACCTCTCCCAGCCAACCTTTGGAACATCTGAAATGTCGGGAACAATGGGCAGTGCTTTAAAGCTTACTCCTTATTCCTCTAGGCAAGAGACAAAGTGAAAGAAATAAGAAACAAAGCTAAATAAATTCATGACTTACGAGGCAAAGGAACTTAATTGGCAAGTTGTCCAAACCGCAAACTTTCGAAAGTTTATTTTCTGCTAGGCTGAGGTAGCTGAGACTTTTACAGTTGCTCAAACCTTCAATTGTTTGGATTTGATTATCTGTAAACCAGCAATTACTCATAAAGAAAAATGCAGCAGAAATAATGAACAATTTAAATCCCCAAAAAAATTTGCAACTAAGTAAATCCTGCCAGTCCACTTAATTTTCTTTCTCAACTCACACTGCAGATCAGGGGAACTGTAGGCTTTGGAATTATGACATTCAGCTATTGTAATTAGGATTTCTTTCCACAGAGAATGGAGAAAATTTTCTTTGTTTATACCTTTCCCACATTTCATTGCAATCTACTGAATTTGCTAGACTAACCGCTTTTTGGATGCTGTGGATATCGTGCTTTAGTATATAGCCATATGTTTTAGTGACATAGCAACATTTCTCTTTGCTCCAAACCAACCCTGCCAACACTGAAATATTTTGTTGAAGAGTCATTAAGCTAAAATGGTAACTCTGTTTCACTGTCCAAAGATGCTGACACCTGCTGAGAGTTGCCAGCATTTTCTGATTTCATTTTCTTCTACAATAACATTTGGCCAATTGCCTTTTTCCTCCTGCATCTGTTTATTCAAGTATCTAATTTTCTATCTTTATTCCAGCCTTTCTTTAGAAGTTACCCATTCTCTAAATGGTATCTAAGCCGATGACCCTAAAATGTCTTCCTTATTTTCCTAAGCCTCTGAATTGAACACTTCTTCAACTTTAGTGTCTTAAACATACACCATAATTGTTCCCAACTTCTTCCCTGATATTGGTCTCTAGTACTCACTTAGCATCACCCTACTTATAAATTCCATCCTCACACCATGGAGTTTTCTTAAATTCCCTGTCATTCAGATTTATAACTGGAATGAGGAGACAATCTAATAATAATTGAAAAATAATTAAATATTTCAAGAAAAGAACTATTCTTATTATTTTTGCAAAATGTGTGAACATGTAAAGGATACTGTCCAAATTCAATTTAAAGAGGAACTGATAGTCTGATAGATCATTCATATTAGATATCTGGTTGTGGGAAAAATCTACTTCCTGCAATGTAAAAAAAAGACAGTGACTATATCTTGAATGTAACTTGGTGCTGTCCATTTCCTGAAACAACATCAGTTCAAACAATTTCAGGACACCAAAGCCTAATCATGGCTTGAAATGGTAAAAACATATTTAATAAACATGGAGTATATATAATTTTACAGTTATACTATTTTACAATGGCAAAATTCTAATAAAATGAGAATAGGAAATGCTCAATTAAAAATAAAATGAACAAGAGTTAAGAAATAAAAACAATAAGTGCTAGAAAAACTCAATAGGTCTGGCAGCATCTGTGGAGAAGGAAACTGTGTTAACACTCGAGTCCAGTATGACTCTTATTCCAAAGAAAGTCATACCAGACTCAAAATATTAACTCTGTTTCACTCTCCACAGATGCTGCCACACCTGCTGAATTTCTCCAGAAGTTTCTGTTTTTATTTCAGATTTTCCAGCATCCACAGTATTTTGCTTTTATAAGAGTTAAGAAATGCTTCTTGAACTGTAAGAGAACTTACTGAGAACACAATGGCAACTTTTGAAAAAGATGACTGTTCTCAGTTCTGTTCTATTCTGCACCGATTCCTTCATCACTTTTTTTTTTATTATATGAGCAAGGTTATCAAATTCCAAGCACATAATAATGAAATTTTAAAGTTCTACTATTCTTGGTTTCAAACTTTATTATTGCTGCAGTTATATTGGATTGAAGGACAGGAATTGGATTAAAGCTGTACTCCTTCAAGCACGCTTCTGGTGTCATTAGCCTTTAACATCATTCTTTAAAGTTCAATATTCTAAAGTACAAAATAATCAGAGCTTGTTACTCAGACAATCTTACCAATCCAGATGTGCATATCAGGAAATCAAATGTTCTGTCCACTATTTCCAAATATGTACATCTGGTTCTTGAAGCTCCTTGAGGTTAAGCTAAGCTCAAAAAGCTAACACAAATATAAGCTTTGTCAAACAAATATATTAATGTATCTTAAGATTACTTTCCAAACTTATATAAAAGCAGTACTCTGATAAATTGGCAACACATAACCAATACTTTCCATATGTAATTCATTCATACCTCCTTTGTTTTACATTATTTATCTTGCCTCAATCCTTGCATAGAATCCTGTCCCAAACTGAACATTGAGTAAGTAAGACTTTAATTTGTTTAAAAGCCACTCAATGAATTACCTTTATATTTTTGGGTAGTTTTAGATCAGCCAGTGAGTTCAATTCATTGTGGGAGGCATCCAGCTGCAGCAGGTAGGGCATGCAACTAACACAACGCAAATCTATAAATCATAAAAGTAATGTTCAACTGCAACTGAGAAGACAAGCTACTTGAATAATAATGTTCACAATTAACTGAAATGCGATATATTACAATACATTTTATTGGGGCTTATTTTGTTTTGTTGTGGTTTATTTTCAAATTTCCTCAAAATGAAAGCCGATCTTGTCAAAATGCATCTAAGCCATAGTTTTATTGTGTAACGATGCTGTCACTTTAAAGAGGTTATTTTGTCCTTGGATATTTTGAAGTGTAAAGGCAGAGGTACCGAAGAGTCTAGGGAATAACAGTTTAACACAGTGGCCAGTTCTCCCAGTTCAGGTTTTTTCTAGTTTTTTTTAGCTGTAGCAGTCACAGATGTTTTGAGCACCACAAGGGTTGCAAGCTTCAATAAAGGATTCTTAACTGACTTTCTTTGAAATCTCTCTCTGGATGTTGTTCCCTCCTGCTTGTAAGAATCTTTGTTTGAATTTACCTTTTTGCCAAGTGTGTTTCTGGGATATTATTATATTGGAACAGTTAATTAGTTAGGGGAAAGCGATAGCCTAGTGGTATTATCGCTGGACTGTTAATCCAGAAACCCAGATAATATTCTGGGGACCTGGGTTCAAATCCCGCCATGGCAGATGGTGGAATTTGAATTCAATAAAATACCTGGAGTTAGGAGTCTAATGATGACCATGAATCCATTGTCAATTGTTGGAAAAACCCATCTGATTCACTAATGTCCTTTAGGGAAGAAAACTGCCATCCTTACCTGGTCTGGCCTACATGTGACTCCAGACCCACAGCAATGTGGTTGACTCTTAACTGCCCTCTGGGCAATTAGGGATGGGCCATAAATGCTGCCTAGCCAGCAATGCCCTCATCCCGTGAATGAATGAATGAAGAAAAGTTGCTGTATTGGGTTAGTTAGGTTTTCCAATAGTTAAGTTACTCTAAATTCTGCTTTCTTTTGTTCTGTTTCAACTGTAGCGTTTAAATAAATTTTGTTTTGCTTAAAGCCAAGTGGTTTAACCAGTTGCAACACCCACTTCAGATCTGCCTTTAAAATAAAGAAAAGTTAGGGTCCAGGCTACCTTCTTAAAATAATTTGATGGGGTCTGGCTTAGTCTGGTCCATAACAGTTGTTAAACTTATAGTTCAAAGCACAGTAATCAGTTTCAGAATGTTAAGTAACACTCTTGACAATTTGTTCTTCAGTTTCATTAATAAATAGGTCATGGAAAAAAAAACTTTCTTTAAATCCTTTTTTTTCTATAAAATATAAACGTCTTTCAGTAACTAATGGACGAAAGGAAAACGTGAAAGTGAGATGGGAAGGAGCAAAAAAATGTAGTTTCTACTTGCTTGACTGTACCTGATATTTTGAAATCACACCTGGAGCTGGTGTAATATTAACTGTAGAATGTTAGCAAACCTAAACCCAGAAATTCATTTCTATAACATTTGAGTTGTTGCTTCCATTTTTTTCTGCATTTTAATTTTTTTATTACAGATGTTTAATTATTTACCAATGCTTATTAGAGAAATGACCTTTTCCCCTCAGTATCATTTACTTATTCTAAATGTTTTCACTAATTTCATGAACAGGCAGTTTAATGCACAAGTATGAGTTAAAATCCCACCATGGTTGGTTAGGTACTTGAATTCAGATTTTTAAGTGGTGATAATGGTAAAAGTGACCACAAAACTATTACATTGGCATCTGTTGGCCCTTATTTCAAACAGGCTGGAGTACAAGAGAAGGGAAGTTTTACTACATCCGTACAAAATGCAATTAAGACCACATCTGGAGTAACGTGAACAGTTTTGGTCCCCTTATTTAAGTAAAGATATTATTTCATTGGAGACAGTTTGAAGGTTCGCCTGGATGATTCCTGGTATGGAACGATGGTCTTTTGAGCAAAGATTAAACAGGTTAAGGCTCAACAGGTGATGGTTATATGGTAAAAATAAAGGTTAACTGGGTGAGTATATACGGGGATCAAGTAATCAGTCAGAATTGGAGTTTTGTGATGTAATAGTCAGAATACAACACTGACTGGTATAAGTATATGCTTGGATTCTATCTAACCAACATTTTAACCTCTAGTGTTTAACAAGTTATGCCTTGTTTCCACTGTTTCACTAGCCCATTCTTCAATGGCTACTCTATAATCCACTGATAAACAATACTCAGCTCTCAATGTGCAGTGGCAGCTTATCATGGTCAGACATTCTATCCCTGACAATATGAAACTTCCCGTGAGTCATACACCACATGTCAGAAGACCTACTAGAATATTATTAGAGGCGATACTGCATTATTGTTAGAGGCCGACTTACCACTTATGTTCACAGTAAATCTAGGATATAGTATTAGGTTGGTGTAGGTTAATGACTTCACTGTGTTCCTGCAAATTTTTTTTGATCCATTGTGAAAATAGTTCCAGTGTACTAATCTAAATATTTATACCTCTTAGTTTATTATAAGGGAGTTCCAACTTCTGGAGGTGAATGTAATCATAAAGAATAGAGATGTCACATAGTTTGCAATTCTGAAAAACAGAAAAGAGGACTTAATTGCACAGAAACACTGGGTAAGGTGAAATAATAATGCATTCATATCAATTAGGAAAAACTGATCTGAAATCTAACCCTTGTAAGCTTTGTCAGGATTTCTCTAACAATTTTCCCAGCTTTTTAATTTAGGCTTGGCATACCTCTGTCACTCAGATTTACAGCTATGCCAGATGTGACTAAATCAGTTGTCAGGTCTCCTTTGGAACCAGGATAAAGGGGTATAGGGCCACCTGAATCCATCTGGCTTTCAGTGACAACTTGTTCCGCTCCTGTTTTTATAAGCCTCGAATCAACCAGCACATTTACTCCTTCTGTTAACGAATCGTTTTCAAAAGGTTATTTGCCGAGGATGTGAATAGATGGAAAATGGAATAGACCAGTACTGATGGGAAAAATTGGGCAAAAATACACTAATATCACTCATGCATGATTGAATTTATCTGGTATGTCTGATACGTTATTGAGAATAATGTAATAGAACACCAAGTATGGAACCACAGAATGATTGCAGCATAGAAGGAAGCTACTGGTCCTGTTATGCTTGCGCTGGCTATCTGAAACAAACAATTCATCTAATGTCATTCCGCTGCCTTCTCCCTGCAGAGCTGCAGATCTTCCTTTTCTGATAATAATCCAATTCTCTCTTAAATCCTTCAAATGTAGCTGCCTCCATTACACTCTTAGGTCTGATTTTATGCACAGAAAAGAGAGCGTCTGAAACTTAGATAAAATAGCACTCGTGCCAAATTCAAAAGCCCCATCCTGAACCTGGATCCCAACTGTTTTCACAGTAGGTCACACATTGGACATGTAAGTTTCATGGTGACAACTCCACATACAAAACTGAAGCTAATTTCAGACTAATCTGATGAATGGGAATATCATTTTTTCTTTATGTCATGGGACATGAGCGTCGCTGGCTAGACCTTCATTTATTGCTCAGAGGGCAGTTAAGAGTTGACCATATTGCTGTAGGTCTGATGTTACATACAGGCCAGACCAAGTAAGGATCATAGATTTACTTCCCTAAAAGATATTATTGAACCAGATGGGTTTTCACAACATTTGACAATGGTTACATGGTTGCTATTAGTTATTTATTAATTCCAATTTTGTTACTGAATTCAAATTTCACCATCTGCCATGGCAAGATTCAATTCCATGTCCCAAGAACCCATGAACATTAGCCTGGGATTCTGGAATACTAGTCTAGTGACATTACCACTACATCATTGCTTCCTTCCAATATGCTTCACATATTAGACCCAGTAGGAGTATATATAAACTTACTGGAATTCTTTGGAGAGGAAGGTACCCTTTTGAAAAAGTAAAATATCCTTTTCTGGTTATGGCCCAGGACATCTTTGGGAGATGTCAAATGTCCTTTGGGATTGTTAAACATAGACATGAATGTGCATAAAAAGTGAATAAACTCATTGAAACTGTAAAGCCATTTGGAAAGGTAAAAGCATTTACATCTCTTGCTCTTCAAAAATAGGAGGTCAAAACTATCTGCTTGTTGTCTCGTTCTGTTTATGTACTCTGAGGAGCACCATTACAGGATTAGCACTGCATGACTGATCTCACAATCTATCATTATCACAGTTGGGGGAAGTTTCTGATAAAATCTCACAAAGCAATGAATTAGGAAGCTATGTCATAATTGCACTCAGTTCTATGGGAAAGAAATTAAAGTGTTTTCGCTCCTGGACAATGCTGTAGTTGTGTATTTGTGAAATCTGTGCAAAGCAAATTGACAATAATACAAAGTCTATGAGTTGGAAGGTGTCAGATGTAGAAGGGGTGAGTGCCATGCTCATCTTGATCATAGTTATATTGCCATTCCTATGATCAGACTTGGCTTAAAGCAGATGGAAGAGCTCTATGAGTGTCTCCTTGTTGAAACTGAGTCTGCAGAGCCTGCAAAAGCAATTTTCCTCTATCATTATGGAACAATTCTGCCATTAAGAACTCAGTTCCTGACAAGTGAGAGACTTGGTGACCTTTAATGCAAGATTAGTATACTGCAAATGCAATGTATAATGATGAAGAAAATTGCAAGTTCTTCCATCAAGCAGTATTTATTAAAAGATTCACACCAGTAATAAAGAGATCCTGTGTGCAAATGTGCATGACCAGCAGTGATTTCAAATGCAACATTGTAAGGGGTTGAAGTGAGCGAGTGGATGTATTCACTCTTTTATGACCCACATGAGAATTCAATAGCAGAAATTTCCAGCTCTGTTCTATGGCTGAGATGAATGGATGAAAACATCTTAATACTCCCAGTGCCCTAAAAAGTGGTTATTAATCTAACTGGGCATTTGCAATGTAAGTATACAAAGGACAATATCATGTTATCATAATCCCATGAGAAGTGGTAGTTTATGACACAACATATATTCAGTTCATCAATAGTTAGAATTTATATTTGGATACCATCAGCCAATAGCATTTTCAGTCACATCTTGTGCTGACAAACTTACAGGAAGGGAGAGATGGAGATAGGTCTGTTCTAATCCAGTTGCTGAATGTCTGAGGTTTGATAGACCTTTCACCAGTATATCTTCTGTTAGTACACCATCAAATTCTTCCTGCAAAACAAGACCACTTGTTAAAAGTTTCAAACGTTTCCTTAACACACACCAAATAAAGCCATCTGTTCTAACAATTCACAAATGCATGCACCAGTTAGTATAGCAATCTCAGCTGTGCTGTGATGGTGATATGCTAAATGTAAGACAGTCAAGAGAAAAGTATTCAAGGTGTCAGGTGTAGTGTACCAAAACAAAAGATGAAAGAACCCATCTCAATGCATAAGTATAAAGACACATTGTAAAATCTGCAAAATATAATTTCCACTCATCTGGGGCAGCAGACATACTTTCCACAGTCCAAAATATTTAGATAGGCCAGCAAGACATGAGAATTAGGAACTCACAATTGTGTATCACATGTCTTAACAGCATGGGGAAACTGAGCCCATTGCTAACTTGTGATAAATTTCACTTTTCATAGTCAAAACTTTCACTTCTATTATTCTCCTTGTCTTGTTAGTTCAATGGAAATGGCTTAAGTTTTCTTTTTAACTCAAGATGCATGTCCAGCTTATACCACATGCTGGGACACTGATCGACAGCCTCAGGAACAGGTCTATCCCTCCAAGATCTTTTAATTTACAAAATTGATTACTCAGTCATTTTAGGTACCTTGAAGTATAGCAGGGTTGCTCAGCTCAGATTTTGAATTACTATCACCAAGCCATAACATAGCTCAAATCCATAGTTCAATTAGAACAGAGAACATAGAATCCCTACAGCATGGACACAGGCCATTCAGCCCACCAAGTCTCCATTGACCCTCCGAAGAGCATCCCACCCAGACGCACATCCCTATCCTTTCCCTGTAACCCCTCATTTCTCATGGCTAATCCACCTAGCCTGCACATCCCTGGACACTATGGGAAATTTAGCATGGCCAATCCACCTGATCCATTTTCGGACTGTGGGAGGGAACCGGTACACCCACAGGAAACCCAAGCAGACACCAGGAAAATGTGCAAACTCCACACAGTTGCCCGAGGGTGGAATCGAACCCAGGTCCCTGGCGTTGTGAGAGGGAGTGCTGACCACTGAGCCACTGTGCTTACTTCATCTACCGTCATTTGATTTTCGTTAATATACTGTTGGTTCCCAATTCTAATTCATGATAGAATTCCCCCGGAACAATTTACTGCAATGAAATGGAACTCAGTTCTGATAAAAGTAGACAAAATTGAAACACTTGCAACAAACTTAAGCGGGAAGCACTGAGTGGATGACTCAACTCAACCTCCACCTGAGGTCTCCCGTAGTACACATGCCAGTCTTCAATCCATTTGATTCACTTCACGTGATACCAAAAAAAGGCTGAAGACACTGGATACTTCAAAGACTATATGCCCGGATAACGTTCATGTAATCGTACTGCAAACATTTGCACCAGAACTAGCCACACCCCTTGATAAGCTGTTCCAATACAACTATAACACTTAATGTTAATGGTAAATGTGTAAAGTTTCCTATGTCCTGTGCAAAGAAAGCATGAAAAATCCAACCTGGCCAATTAATGTCCTATCAATCTATTCTCAATCACCAGTAAAGTGATGGAAGGGATCATTGTCAGTACTATCAACCAGTACTTGCAAAGGAATAACTTGCACATTGACATTCATTCTGGATTCTGCCAGGGTTACTTGGCTCTCAACCTCATTACGGCTTTAGTTCAAAGAGTTCAAGCTGATCTCCAGAAGTGAAGCAAGAATGATTACATCACAGCAATATTCAAACAAGTACAGCATCAAGGAGCCCTAGCAAAACCAGAGTTACTGGGAATCAGGGGAAAACTGTCTGTTGGTTGAAGTCATGCCTAACAGAACAGAAGATGATTGTGGTTGATAGAGGTCAATCATTTCAACCCCAGGAATTACAGCAGAAGTTCCTCAAGGTAGCCATTTTCTAATCAATCTGTTCAGATATGTTATTACACATCTCTGAATCAGAGAGGACTTGAACCTGTGTCTCCTGGCTCAGAGGTAAGGATGCTACCACTGCAGCATAGGATAGTGTCCTAGGCCAAACCGTCTTTAGCTGCTTCATCAATGATCTTGCTTCCATCATAAGGTCATAAGTGACATACGTTGGCTGGTAGTTGCACCACGTTCAGCATCATTCTCGAATGTCCAGATCTGAAGCAGCCAATGTCCATGTCTGGCAAGACCTGAACAACACCAAAACTTGGGCCAATAAGTGACAAATAACATTTGCGCCACACAAGTGCCAGACCCCCACTATCAACATCCTGAGGTAACTAATGAACAAGTCCCATGTACCTTGATACTTTTAAAAAAGTTAAAGTTTATTTTTAAAATTTATCTCTTTAATATATTCAGGAATTTAGCCTCCACAGCCTCCTGTGGTACAAGATTTGAGAGGTTTGCTATCATTTGAGTGATGAAATCTTTCCCTACCTCAGTCCTAAATGGTCTACCCATGGTTGGTAAGTTAAGAACCAGGGGATATATCTGAAAATATCTCAGATACGTCCCCTAGTTCTTAACACACCAACAAAGGAGAACATGCACCCTGCATCTAGTCTGTCCAGCCCTGATGCTTGTATACAAGTTCTGGAATGAGACTATTGAGATGATTCTCTTCAGGAAGACTTTGGATGCAGTTTGAATGGCCTGATTCTAACTCTTGTTAGAATGACTAAAATCCCTGTGGGGTGGCGGGGGGGGGGGTTAGTCCAGTTATATTGGCTACAAACCTGCAACACCCCCTCCGCTGGGATCTCGCATTCCTCCAAGCAACTGCTCTCGCTGCTGCTCAGGGCGCTGTCCAGCAGCTCTTGGTAGAACTCTTCCACCATCTCATCGCTCTCCTCGTCCAGCAGATCGTCCAGCAGCTCCCCGGCCAGTTCCTGCACAGCCTCCTCCAGAGCCTCGTCAGCGCACACCCGCACCATCTCCTCCAGCATCTGCCACACCATGTCCTCCTGTTCTTGCATGTCCTCTTCCTCCTCCACCGACTCGTCGAGCAGCATATCGCCCTCACTAATCGTCGCCGCCACCTCCATCACCTCAAACAACGAGAGCGAGTGAACCCTCTTCTCCCGGTTGCAAATAGCAGACTTTATCCACTCTCAGCCCTGACTCCAACTACCGCCATCTTGTTGTCAAAGCGGTTGCTAAGAGACGGCCGGCCCCACGGGGCCTCACGGAAGTTGTGGACAGTCGGGAACTACAACTCCCATAGAGCATCGCCGCTGCACATGCGCACATACTGTGTATTGGGAAGGATCCTTGAAGGGAGACAAAAAAGCCATTGTAGGTAATCAACGAGCAGGGAGAAGCTACCAATAAACATTTACTGCTAAAATAAAAATAAAATACTGCAAACGCTCGAAATCAGAAATAAAAACAGAAAATGCTGCCAGCGCTTCCACAATCTTTTTTGGCGTTGAACAAGTTATTCCAGATCAAAACACCTGTGTGAAAGGAAACACATCTTCAGTTGTGTCTGATAACTTTAAATCTGTTTCCTTCAGATTCTAATTCTATCAAAATACTCTACGAGTTTTCACTGGTGAATTAAATCTTCGCATGACTTTTTGTTCCAAGATGGACAATCTCAATTGCCTTAGTCTCTCCATGTAACTCTCCATTCCAAAAATGTGTTAGTTAGATGGATTGGCCATGCTAAATTGCCCATGGTAATCAAGAACGTGCAGCTAGGTAGGTTAGCCATGCAAATTGCAGGGTTACAGGGATAGGTAGGGGGATGGGACTGGATAGGACGCTCTTCGGAGGGACGGTGTGGATCCACTGGGCTGAATGGCCTGTTTCCACACTGTATGGATTCTATGATGATGATGAACTGAACTTCCTCAACTGCGGTATTGTTCTAGTGAATTTCTGCACCTTTTGTAAGGCCTCAACAACCTTCCAACAAGGTTAGTCTTTGTCACTTGACTCCCATTCTTTTGGAGAACATGACAATTATACTTAGACAAGGGTATGTAGATGCAATTCTTTTTATTTAAAAAAACACAATTTGAGAATTCCCCATTATTACACCATAGGCTTGAAAGCCTCCAATAACTCTTCTATAGAAGCATGCTGAGTGAATAATTTGTTAGTTGATGACTAGCATATACCCACTTAAGGTTAGAGATTTTTTTCTCCGCTATCTGCTTTAAATTAGCTATATCTTTGACTAGGCATTTTTGTTTTAGATCTTTTGTGGAATATACATTATACCACAAAGATTGACAATCTATGATTGATATTGGTCTTGTTACTTATCGCATTTCTTCCAAGATCTTAAAGAAATACGACATTGTGTTAACAGCATCAACAAGAGCTAGAATTTTAGCGGCTAATTTCACCATCTTTCTTACTTTCTTTGCCTCTTATGCCAAGCGACAATTCTTCCCATTTTCTTCAACAACAAATATCAGAAACACTCCTGCAGTGGAAAATCCATCACTAAGATTTGCATGTGAGGTATCATTAAAAATTATTCATGCCATATTATCGGGATCACTTAAAGATGAGAACTTCAACTTATGCTTCTTGGTTTCCAATTTTAAAAATAGTTTTATTCACACTCAAGATGTCCACCTTTGGATTTTTCAGGACAACACATAAGTTCCAGCACATTAAACCTTATCTGGTCTGGTCTGTGTAACTAATCAGTTATAGAGTCATAGAGTAATACAGCATGAAAATAGGATCTTTGGCCCAAACTGGTCCATGCTGACCATGGTGCCCACATTTGGTCCATATTCCTCTAAACCCAAGTACCTATCCAAACGTTTTTAAAGTGTTGCTATTGCACCTGCCTCAATCACTTTCTCTGGCAGCCTATTCCATATACGCACCACTCTCTGCATGAAGCATTTGCCTCAGGTTCTTCTTAAATCGATCCCCTCACACCTTAAACCTGTGCCCTCTAGTTTTCAATTCTCCATCTCTGGGAAAAAGACTATGTGCATTCATCCCATCTATGCCCCTCATGATTTGATACTTCTCAATAAGGTCACCCCTAATTCTCCTATGTTCCAAGGAATAAAGTCCTATCCTGGCTAACCTCTCCCTATAACTCAGGCCTACTAGTCCAGGCAACATCCTTGTAAATCTTGTTTGCACACTTTCCAGTTTAACTATGTTTTTTCTATAACAAGGTGGCCAAAACTGTACATAATACTTCAAGTGTGGCCTCACCAATGACTTATACAACTGTAACAATAACATCCCAACTCCTGTCCTCAATGCCTTGACCGATGAAGGCCAGCATGCTAAATGCCTTCTTCACCAACCTGTCCATCCCTGATGCCGCTTTCTAAAAACAATGTACTTGTACTCCTAGGTCCCTCTGTTCCCGCAACACTCCTCAGGACTTTACTAGTTGAGCTGACTAATGAGATTCCTCAGGTATTCCTTTTCATTCTTGGTAGCAGCCCCATCTTTCTGTCCAGACCTAGTATGAGTAATTGCAATTTACCAAGTAAGGCTCCCAATGTAGAATTACATTTGACTCACTTTGCTTAATTTCCAAATCCACATATTTGAAAACTCCAGAGGCTTGACAGCTAAGTTTGAACTTCTCAATTTGATTGATAGTCCTTTTCCAAAGTCATTGGTGCTCCCCCCATAACAAATCATCACTATGCATCATAAAGATACCCAAAAGTGTTCTATTATAATACCAATAGAACATTGTCAGAGTTGCCTTCAGTTGTGAAGATCCTAACATTGACAGAACTATCCTTACCAAAAAAATACCATTCCTGAATAGCATCATTTAACTCATAGACACATTTCTGCAATTTCCTTCCAGAGCTTTGGAGGCTGTAAGAACACTTCCCTCTCAACAGGTTACCCTAAAGAATAGCTGCTTTAATATCTAGAGAATTAACTTCCAAGAAACAGTTGCTGAAACGGTTGAAATCTTCTTCAAAATTACCTTTGCAGCTATAGCAGAATCCACACTGTTGTCTTACTCACCAAGACATTGCTCAAAGCTGCCAGCTACTAACTTAGCCTTACCTATAATCCCATATGGTAGGACTTTTGTGTACAGATCTCTTTTATGACAAAGCAAGTTGACCTCTTATCATCAGTGTCTGAACATAATCTAGATTCTTTATGGTTCTGAAACTCTTAGTTTAGCCTTTTTTGTCACCCTATCTTCAATTCTACTATTAGCTACAAGCAACACCCAATCACAGGGTCATCTATTTTTATCCACTGTTTGAGAAAGCTTTCCATTATCCATGCTACCCTGTCACCTTGTTCAGCTGTAGCTTATTTTCTCATGTTGAAATCTCTCTGGACTACTCCAGATATCTGCTAAAAACCCTCTCAACTTTAAGTAATGTTTTCTTCCGAGGTGTATCTCCTGAATCAGTACTCAATCTGGAACTATGTTTACTAGTTCACCACTCTTGTACTCTTGCTGCTAATCAATGGCTCTCACTTCTGGTCCCTTATCTTGGACATTTAGAGTTGGCGCATATTTCCTGAGCTTTAAAGTCCTACTCTTCTGGTTCCAATCACAGCACACGTGGGTATGCAAAGTATGTGGTGTTTCATCATTAATATCTGCTCCCCCATTTTCAAAGTTTGAAAATCTATGACTCAATCTGATCACTCACAAAGAATGTGCCTTTCTTGTTGGATTTCAATGTTGTATATGAATGTTTTCCCATCACATCCAATAACCTTCCCTGGCTCTTTCCATTCCGTGTCCACCTTTCTTAAAGTAAACCATGTCACCAGATCTAAAACCTTCCCCAGACAGTCAGATGCAATTTTTCAACACTCTCCTCATTTTTAAAAATACTTTTCTGCTGGCATGTAAGGGATTAGATGAGTGGAAAATTAATCTGATCATGCTCTTTCTTGTGCTGGAAGATCATTGTGCAGTATTTAAGATAATTCTTGGATCTGACCATATAATAATTTGTATCAGCTGTACCTCAACCATCTGAAAGGAATTTCTTTGTATATACTATCCATGTCAGTGCCATTTTTAACTTACCATTCAGATGATCTACCAGTATTTTGTGCAATATTTCAAGACTATGAGATGAGCTTTACTTTACACAAGCCATGGCTGAACAGACTTTCTGCAGCCATATGCACCATTTTACTATTTAAGTTCTCACACATGTCCAGAAATCCATCATTTGCAAGTTCACTTCCCTTATCTGTTGAGAATTTTGTTGGTGACCCAAGGCCAATGCTGACCCCCTTTTTAATGACTTTGCCAACTATAGTCTGTCTGTCCTTATTGTTCAATACCATGGATATACTAAACCTGGTCACTATATCTACAAATTATAATATTTGAACTTTATCCCATATCTTCAGATCCATGGCTACTACTTAGTAAATTCCTGGGCCAAAGGAACACTTACAACAGGGCATGGTGGTATCTTTTAATTAAGTAAAGTCGCCATAGTCTGACCAGATCATAGGGCTGCTCCATCATTCGGGAGAGATGACTGGTGGTGATTTAGCCTAAGGGGTCACTGTACCTCAGGCAAAGGGAGAATTTTGAGAAAGGAAGACCTTCATGGTAACCTCATCTGGTGCAGGAATTGAACCTGTCTGTTGGCATCACTCTGCAGTGCAAACCAGATGTCCCTGACCCCTGTAAAATAGTTACGCAGGAAAGCTCAGACTATTGAATACAGCTTAACTCCTCGGTAACTATAAACTGATTGCATATTTTTTTCTCACATCCTGGCTACACTGCTCCCAAACCAGTTGCAAACCCAAATCTTGAATTGACGACACCCACACACCCACCTCACCGGACTTGACTGGATAGATTGGACCGGAATTAGTGTGGGCGAAGCTAACCCAACTCACATCTTACCATCCCTCTCATCTCCTCATCTCCTCATCTCCCTGACCGCCACCAGTTCCACCCTGGCCCCCATTGTCTGACGTCCCTCACCCCAAAGTCAGACTTGACCCGACTCAACTGAATTTTCCCCACCTGTCACTGGACTCAAATCTCTCAGAGCTGATATCCACCCTTTCTTCCCATCCCAACCTACCCTAAACACTGCATCACTTACGTTGCCACCTTCCAACCTATCTACTTTGCACCTAATCCTTTCCCACTTGGCATCATACTCCCTATCCAGTTCGCACACCACTT